GATGAGAATTAGCTACTGAAAAGTGATTTCAATATAGATATAACTCATCTCATAAACTAGCTGTATTTGATGGTTGGCACTAAAGGAGTGTTGTTTATTAATCGAAAAATGTACATGATAAGCTGTGTTTAAAAAACTCGTCACTAATTTCAGCGATAAAAAATTAAGGTTTTTGAAACATTAGAAGAGAGCGAATATACTTTTTTTGCATAATTATCAGGTCTTCGAGTAAAATCATTTATTGTGATAGTCTATGAGAAATATGAATATTGCTTGAACGGTATGTCGCCTATCGCATGTCAGGCTTGCAAAACATAATCTTACATCCGTTTATTCACACATTTCCGCATCCACGCATTCACAAAATCCTCCACCAGCGCATACCCACACTTATACATTCCTCAAATTTAACATCTACGCACTACTCCCACATCCTCACTTCCACATACCTCTGCCTGCACTCACACAATCCCTGCTCCTCACATCCTGAGCTCCACGCATTACCGCATCCTCACATTCAATGATAATCGGTCACACGCGGATTTTGTGTGTTACACGGAATTAATAGCTTTAACCATATAACACATATTAATGAGCAAAACATATATATATCTTACAGAGCTTGAAATAATATCGAAAATATCGAAATAATAGTAGTCTTAGCTGATGTAGACCATATCACTTGAAGCACAAATCCTTACATTTCTGGCAAATGGAAGCCTGCATCCTGTTGAGTTCGACCATAGCATGAGTCATTTCTATGTAAGTTATAAGTTTTTTGATCGTGAAAGTACATGAAGCTTGATAGAACTTAATGTATGATCTTAAATGAAAGCATATCATTTTTTGTGTACAAACTCAGGCTCAGATAGATATGAAATTGACTACTAACTTTTCAGCTAAATTGGAACTGGAATCTGCTCAGCAAGCTTCTGTAATTCCATCTCCCTTTTTTCTGCGAATAATTTGAAGTATTGCAGGCCTATGAATAAATCTAGCTCGACCACTCGGTTAACAAGAGTCTTGTTACCGTTGCCAATAGCAGAACCACATGGAACTGTCTCGTGAAAGATATTTGTAATCTGAGAAAATTAGACATAAAAATTTACTTTTCTGAGCTTCCCAATATACAGAAAAAATTCCATATTGATGACTAAGTCCTATTTGTCGAAGACTTCGAGAACTATTCACAATAATATTTTACATCGAAAACATTTTCTATATGATTATAAATTACCTCACTACAATGAATTCAGCAATCAGTCGTGGCTATGATGTATTAGGTATATTCCATCAAAGGAAAGCAAAGCAATGAACTTATCCCATACCTTTTTGCCATCTGCAAATCTTGGATATGAAAAACATCGTTCCTAAAAATGAACTTCCACTAGGAAACATGGATTCTGTATCCTAACACACCTCTCGTATCCCAACCTAAGATCAAAATAAAGTAATCAAAAACTCCTCAATTTCGAATCTCAAGAAATTCGTCATAAAAAGAAACTAATTTGACGCATCTGAAGCCTTGATATTCTAAATTTCATAAATTAAGTCAATATGTGAAATGATTCTGAATGCTTAAGTAGTTTTCTATAGATGTTTATTTACCTTCTTCTGTTTTCATCTTTTTTTACTCTACCATTTTTGTGTACTTCAAAACAGTACAACAATGCAAATTCATTTGTCATCTCAATTTTCCACTCTGATAAATTCGGATAATTCAAATCAAACAGTGAAATGTTGGAAAGAATAAGTAAAAATTAGATATGATCTCCCCGCCCAAAACTGAGTGCTTCTTATAATCAGAAATGATATGTTTGAAGCCAACTGAAAATCTTACTCAAAACCAAGCCTGCTTCGAGCAAGACACTCAATGATAACTTTTCGCTTTACAGTGTTAAATCACAACAAATATCACTTAAAACACCAGACTGAATCATTTCAGGAATTGGCTCAACAATAAATCAGTGCTTCAGAAGAAGCAGCCTTATTCAAGCAAAAATTTTCTTTACAAAACAGCAGTCCTGTCAAGTTTTTTACTATAAATGGTCTAATGAAATATACTATACTTCTATCACAGCATTTGTTTTACATAGGAAGACTTCTGGAACTTACATTGCCTGAAGATAGCATAATTAGTTGAAGGAACATGTCAAAATTATCCTTGCTCTTGACTTCTCAGCTCTTTCGTTTACAATTTCAGGACAAAATTAAAAATAAATTTGGGACATAATGCTATTCCGTATTGCTCATCCTGAGCAGCTGCCGATGTTTTCAAGAAACACTCTGCGCTGACAGTTTTTCAGTTAGTTCTCATTTGCAAAAATATCTTAATGAATGCATTTATTAATACAAAAATTTATGCTTGAAACTTTCATTGCAAAACCCCTAGAACTGAACTGTATCCTGAGGATAATGAAGCCAGTCAGTATGACTTGGGAGATCTACCATTACTCAAATACTGGAAAGTGTCAAGTTCCTATGATTTCAGCGATTCTTTTCTGATTTCAGCGATTCTTTTCTGTTAACACTGAATTTGACGGCAAAAAAATTAATCTTTTCATAATAAAATATTTGCTAAACCTTTTTCTAGCCTGTTTTGTTTGCATCCACTGCTATCCACTATGGCAATTGCATTTGAATAAAAAAAAATTATAAAATATAAATTACCCAAAAAAAATTATCAATATTGAAAGAACTTCTTTAAGTAACTTGAGTGTTTAAATTTATCCTTATAATTTCAGAAAAAACTTATTCTATACTACTTGAAGGAATCAAATTAATACTGTAATATTGAATTTTAACTCATTCAATATAGATAAAATCCTATTTCAAAGAGCTAAATACTTACCATTTAAATGATATAATTCCGTGAGTAATTTCTCCATCCACTTTAAGAACTCAAGATTGTGCAAACAGCAAAGCCTTTTATAGAAAAGTTAGATACAGTCCTCCCAAATTGAACGTTTCTTACGATTAGAAATAAATTTTCAAGCTAACCGAATATCTTGCAAAAAGTATTGCAATATTAGTTTTGTCATCTTATTAAAAATAATACACTTAT